CGTGATCGGGGGGGGGGGGGGGGGGATCCTAAACCCTGACATCCCAGAGAGGCTGTGTTCCAGCTTTAAATTCAGGTTTTGCATCAACCAACATTTAATGAGATTTTTTTCAGCTGAAGACGAGAGCGAAGGTGACGAAGATTCCGAGGAACAAGACGAAAGTGAAGCACAGTCCAGTGATGACGATTGCTCAGTGCATATGGAGACATGCGCATGTTGTGATGGCGAGGGTGAACTCCTATGTTGTGAGACATGCCCCCTGGTCTATCATCTGGAGTGCGCTTACCCACCACTCAGACGTATACCCAGGGGTGATTGGGCGTGTCAGGTGTGCACTGGCGCTGATCGGGAATTGCCAAGTGGACGGAGAGTTAAGAAAACTGTCATTAAAGGTGAGTCAACGCTCAATTATTGTGTATAATACTAGACTAACTTTATTTATAGTGGATGACTCTAGTTCAAAACTGTTCTCCCTAGAGGTCCAGTAAGGATGATCCAGTGTTATTACAGGAGGAAACCTAAATTAAACTAACTTTATTTATACTCTATCAGCTCTAAACTGTTCTCCCTAGAGGTCAAGTAAGGATCATCTCTTATTGGTCCAGTATTACAACTAACAGGAGGAAACCTAAACTAAACTAACTTTAGTCATACTGGATAGCTCTATCAGTTCAAAACTGTTCTCCCTAGAGGTCCAGTAATGATCATCTCTTATTGATCCAGTGTTACTACAGGAGGAAACCTAGACTAAACTAACTTTATTTATACTGGATAGCTCTATCAGTTTTCCAAACTGTTCTTCCTAGAGGTCCAGCAATGATCATCTCTTATTGATCCAGTGTTACTACAGGAGGAAACCTAAACTAAACTAAATTTAATTACGTATACTGGATAACTCTGTCAGTTCTAAACTGTTCTTCCTAGAGGCCTAGTAAGGATTATCTCTTATTGATCTAGTGTTACTACAGGAGGAAACCTAAACTAAACTGACTTTATTTATACTGGATAACTCTGTCAGTTTTAAACTGTTCTTCTTAGAGGCGTAGTTAGGATTATCTTTTATTGATCTAGTTACTAAACTGACTTTATTTATACTGGATAGTTCCACTTTCTCTTCAGTCATTTTACGACCTTGAGTAGAGGTCCTACCAAGGATTGAACCCATGCAGGTAACCCAGCTTGGAAGGCAAGCGCGATGGCCATGACACGGTCGATACCACACGAGCTGGTCATCAGATTCATTGTATTAAACTAATTACATTGATATATTAGATTTATATTTATAGTTAAATAATTATATTTAATTTACCAAACGTTCTCACATCACTTGCTTTATACTTAAGCAATTTTCTATTTTCAGCTGCTGAAAAAAATGTGAAGGACAAAAAGACGTCAAAACCCGCTGCTAAAAAGGCCAAGATTGAAATCAAACCATCCAAACAAAAGCCAAGCAAAATGAAAACTGATAAAGAGCCAAAGAAGTCAGCAAAACGCCAAAACAGTGGTTCAAATTCTCCGGCAAGTGGCCAGACTCGAAACACAGCAACAGTTCGAGTCAATGGACCCAAATCAAGAACACCAAAAGCCTCTGTCGCCCCAAGACCAAGTGGTTTATCAAATTCTGCACCACCATCCAAATCTGTGAGGTGGCCAACGGCACTCGCAAAGAAATGTGAACGACTTTTGAAAGAAATGATGACTCATGAGGATTCGTGGCCTTTCTTGACTCCTGTTAATGACCTTGAGGTATGCTACGCTTTGTATCTAAAGCTTGCTGCACACGAAAGCAACTTGCTGAGCTAACCGCCTCGCGTGACAGCTAGCTCAGAAAGTTTGTTGTGTGCGGATAGTTTTTAATGAGGATTTGACCTCTCGAGGCCTTGAGGAAATTATCTATCGTGTTTGATATTTTTCACCTCGCGAGGAAAAAATCTCAACGTCTGCGGATGTTGTGAGCTTAGTGCTGAGCTGCTTAGCCAATGAGAAACCATAGTTTCTTCACGTGACTTTGAACAAAATGGAGGAAAATGCAAACGATTTTGTCAATTATGTTGCCGGTGAGTAGTTTTCCCAACGTGTGCGGTGAAAACGCATAGCTGAGCTAGCCGAGTCAGCTAGCTCAGCGCCGCCTCAGCAAGTTTCTCTCGTGTGAAGCAGGCTTAAAGACGACCCTAGCGTTGTCTGTGCAATATATTTCAAAACATTTTTTTATTAGTCGAAAGTTATTGTTTTGATCACACAAATGGTTTTCGATAATTTTCAGAAATTTTCGAGTGAGTTGAGGTAGTTGTTTTAATTTTTCAAAAATTTATTGTGGTCCCCCTTTGTTGACCCTCCTAGGTTTGCCTGTTGTGCCACCCCGTTTTTGCATTTGACCAATATTTTACAAAACCTGTTTTTATCAAAAATTTACTGTGGTTACATGTGGTGCCACCTTTGCATTTGACCCAATTTTGTATAAATTGTTTTGATAAAGCAGGGTTCGTAGCGGTCTTTGAAATCCTTGAAAGTCTTTAAATTTGAATGCAGGTCGTTAAGGTCTTTGAAAAGTCTTTGAATTGTGTGAAAAAGCGAAGAAAGTCTTTAAAGGTCTTTAAATTCTTTAGTGAGGAATTGATTGTACGATTTCATAGCTAATAAAATAGATTTATTGAAGCAACATTTTCGCAAGTATCGACGAAAAGGCGCATTTTAGGATGTGATTTGACGGGACCAATTATTGAGTAAAATTGTTGCTTTCACTTGCAATTTTTCGACAGCTGATTGCTCTCAAAGGTCTTTGAAAAGTCTTTGAAAATAGGCAGCAAAAATCTTTGAAAGTCTTTGAATTTTTTTGGTCTTGGAGACTATGAACCCTGTAAAGGAAAGCTTTTTTGCTAGGATTACTGGTTGTAATGGGATTTCTTAAAAAACAAAAAAGCAATCAGATGAATCGTGCCTTTTTTAAAACAATTTTTTTCTTCCTTTAGGTTCCAGATTACAAAACAATTATCAAAATTCCGATGGATTTACAAACAATAAAAACTAAACTATCCGGTCATGGATACAGCTCAACGGAAGAGTTCACGGCTGATATACGGCAGATATTTTTCAATTGCAGCGAGTACAACAAGCCGCGCACGAAAGAAGCGCGTGCCGGTATCCGTCTGTCCGCGTATTTTGAAACACGTTATGGGGAACTGGGACTAGACTCTAGCGAGCAGCGTGGGCCTAAAACTAGACGCTCGCGATAATGACGTAATTGTTTACACTGATCTGAAATGTTAGCTGGATAGCGTCTTCTATTGTTCAATTGAGATGAAGGCAGTTCAACTTTATGAGTGTCTTTTTAAGATGTCTTCGAAACAATAGAATCATCAATCCTGTTATATTGTCAGATCAGTGTTCACCGTAAAAATCACGTGATTTGCACACAATTTTAATAATTTTCTCTTTGCTTTCATATACATGTGTCATAATTAAGAATTGTAGAAAACGTTAGCGTACATATCCTTTGTAAACAAATAAATGTTAATAGTTGAATATTTATTGAAGAATATGTTCTCTTCTTTAGTCCACGAACTAATAGTTTAGTCGAAAAAATAAAGACCCGCCCCTTTACCTTTTGGCCATTTTAGACACATCTTGGGTTTTTTAAATGGCCAGAAAGTAAACCCTCACTTTTGCTTTTGGTCAACAAAAAGTTAAAGGGGTCCTATAGTTTACATTTTAGCCATTTTCAGCTACGAAAGTTTAAAAAAGGGACAGAAAATGGCAAAAAAACTAACCCCTCAAAATTTCGTCCATTTTTAGCAACTTTTTGAAAAAGTCTAAATTTGCATGTATGCAAAACAATTGATAAATTATCAATTTATTTGTATAACATACGAGCTTTCAAAATACTTTTATCCAATATCAACACAGTTATTCCCTCGTGGGAATTCAAACTAATGCAATGCTTTTGACAAGAACCAATCATATGCAACCTATTTTATGGTCTGACCAATTTTGTATGGGGGGAGGGGGGCTGATTAGTCGGGGGGCGATTATTAAGTCGTTTCCCTCTCAAACTTTACAGATTATCGCTAATTTACAAGTTATTGGGGGCTGAAGCCATGTTTTTCAAAGTTTCTTGAAAGGGTTATGTATGATCGTTTATTGGCATATCTCGATAAATTTAAGATATATGACAATCAATATCGAAATAGTTTTATTTTTAAAGCTAGTTTTTTTGCGTGATTGTTATTATTCGATGGTTCATTTTTTTTATCCTTATCTGCAATATTGCGTCATTGTTTGGGAACTAACGTATCCTAATATTCATCACATTACCATTAAATTACTTCAGAAACGTGTAATTAGAATTCTGAATAAAAGCGCATTTGATGCACATATACTAGTATTAACCCTATATTTAAGAAGCTTTGCTTGTTGAAATTGAATGATGTTTAAATAATTGTTTGCTGCAACTGGGACAATTTATGTTTCATCATCAATTTTATCTTTTGCCTGAATGATTTGACAATATGTTTTTAAAAAATAATCAAACTCACTTTTAACACAAGAAACTCCTCCAAGTATTATGTACCTTCATGTAGAACAAATGTCAGACGATTTTCGGTGCGCTTTCGATCAAGGTCCAAAGTTTTTTAACCTTCGTGATCTGGTTGACATTGTCTTCTCTATTTTATTTAAGACGAAATTAAAACAATATTTGTTTAAATTATTAATAATTATCTTGTACAATATATTATTAGTGCAAGTTCAAACACGTCTGCACTTTGTAATTTATTAATTGTGTTTTTATATATATGCATGCATGGTGCCTGTACATTTAATTAATCCTTGTGGTTTCGTTTTGGGCTTCCTTATCACCAGCATGATAAAATTAGTTTATGTATATTTGTGTTGTTGTAATCTTAATATGTAATGTGGCACTAAAATCAAATAAAATTTATCTCAAGCTAAGCTGAGAGGTACTGGATGAATTTCAATATGCATCTATTCAAGCAAGTATTCAACTGCTCAATCGCCATTGGAACCCGCTGAATATTTAACAATTATTCGTCGAAGGCGAGGTAGCCCGCATGCCATTCTCGTACCCAGAGCCCTTCTAACGCGCGGTGCGACGAGGGACTTTGGCCAAATCCATAACCGGATACCATAATAAAAACCTGGTAAGAAAACAATACCGGTGTTAAAACTAGCCAATCAGATGCCAGTTCGGAATATGGATTTGACCAGAGCCCCTCGTCGCACCGCGCGTTAGAAGGGCTCTGGGTACGAGAATGCCCGCGTGCAGGCCCTCGGTGGGCCTGCACGCGCGGGCTAAAGGCGAGGTGATTATCGGGGAAACCGAGACGAAGTCGAGGTGAATATTAATTCCCCGATAATCACTGAGGCGAATAATTGTTTTTAGTATTTTTACACAAGTCTTTTGTATTTTTTGGGACTGAATTTATTTTTATTTCGCTTATTTCTTTATCCAGTAACTTCCACAAAACGGCTAGCCGCCATTTTGAAACTGTTTTGTTATACGTCAAATTTGACCAATCAACTTGTAGGATTTGTCATATTCACTTGTGCAAAAATACTAGTTTGACATGTTTCTAGTCTCAGCCATGCACATATGTTATGATTCAACTGCAATTTGTCCTGAACGCGCCAATCAAACTCTGAATTGGCCTTATTTACTAATCAGCAGTTAGTCCTGTATTCAACTAACGAGATTTTCCAATATCCAGTACAGAACATCGAAGGCTTCCTCCAGACAATAGGAACTGGCCGTACGGTGTCTCGATCACCTTGTACCCAAAGTTGGTCAATTTGTCTCTAAGTGCGTCACTGAACTTGTTTCCGACAACAATATGTTCTCCGCTTTCTTCAAAATTTACAGAATTGCATGCAAAAGCCATGGCCTCTTCTTCCCCAATTGCAATAGTCTTATCTCCTCCAACATCCAGGATTTTTTTCTCAGATTCTTTGTCAAACGCACCAGGGTAGTACATCAGATGTCCACGGGTTAAACTCATCAGTGCTGTATCCATATGGTAGAAATATGGATTCATTAATTTCATGTGATGAAGTCGATCTTTTGGTAGTGACAGAACGTCCTTGAGGTAGGCATAGGCTTTGAACGAGCTACGGAATCCATAGGCCACGAAAAAGTTCTCCCCGTCGTGCGTGGGCATAAAATCACCACTGCCTTCTATCTCAACTCCGTCATCAATTGGGTCCAACACCTCGAAGCCTCGCTCTTTGAAGAACAGAATATGGTATTGTGTTTCCGGTTGACGAGGCGCCACTTGAAAACTCGAAACGACTGCTTTGTTGCCGTGAACGATCCCTGCGTTTGCAGTGAAAACCATATCAAGAAGATCAGGTTGAGGTTCCAAAAGGTCAACTTCGATGTTATTTGCAAGCAAGGTTTCATACGCATTTTCCCACTGTGTTAAAGCAAGCTTCTTATTCACTGGAATCTTCATATTCATATGAGCGTTTAGCAAACTATGCTGGACATCGAAAAACTTCGGTCGACACATCATTACAGTCTTGTAACAATGCGATATTTTTGAACAGCTGCTCGCAACTTTTAAGGCTGCCATATACTTGAATAGCTTTCCCAGCTGTAGAAATATTGAAAATAAATTCACTAATGGATGACTTGCGCTTTAGAAAAATTTTTAATCTGTGGGGATAACAAAGGATATTTGCGGAATATGTTTGGTTGCGAAATATTGTAAAATACGGAAAATATAGCCCTGCGAAGTTGGCAAATTTGTATACATTTCTGTTACGTCACAGAAGAGATAAGGGCAGAAGGTTCACTCAAGGGTAAAAGGTGTGCCAGAATGTGAGCCGTAGGTGTGGCCGCCATGTTGAAAGCAACCAAACCAGAGGAAATTTTATAGGAGTTAATATGGCGGAATACGAAATAGAGCCACTAAAAGTGCTCTAGCTTTTTATGTATCCAAGCAAAACTCATGATACTTTGAAATATCATAAAGAAGAGGTTGTTCTTTGATTTAATTGTTACTACGACGATGAGAAACGAATTTAAGCGTGGAATTTGGCCATTGTCATACATCGATTAATTTCACCTCGGTCTTTGGCGAATAGTGATAAACATATAAAGTTATATAGCTTATGTGTGGTTAGTCCGATCGCCGTAAAATATGTTTTGAGTAATAAGTTGGTGATATTTCATGGTGTACAAAAAGATTAAGGACGTGAATGCCATAACAATGAAGGAAATAAATCCAGTTCATCGGACCTTCAGTGAATCTGTGATCAACTATTCAATACAGTGTAATTCAACTTGGCATATTGGCCTGCAATCGTATAAAATAATATTGCGATATGAAAGAAATTGATAGACCTACTTCTTCTTCTAAAATAAATTTTAGGGATAATATATTGACTTGAACCTATTAAAATCCTTTAGCTGTGACTTTACAAATTTGGTATCACAAGTGTGTCAAGTCACAACTGACAAGGCCTCCTTTGACATTATCAAGGAACCTCATTTACAAAACAGACAATAAAAGACCTGATTTATCTTAATGACAGTTTAAATTATAAATCTGTGAGATTCTAATATACACTCTAGTTTTTAAGATACATATTAAAAGTTTACTCTAAAATGAGGGGAAAATAATCTGAAGATGAGAATTTTCTCTGTTACTCAAGTTTATGTTACATTTAGCACCAAGTATATTATTGTTGCTATCACCTTAGGGGTTGTTTACATGAGCCCGGGTAGCCATGTAGGCTGGCCCGGTTAACCAGGCTGAAGGCCTGGCTAGCCAGGTTACATGAGTTGGTGACTTTACATGGGAAAATTCCAGCCTGGTTATCCGGGCGTCCCCTTTGACTCAAGTGAGATCTCGGCTAGGAAGATTCTTGTTAAATGATTTGTATTAAGCTGGGTGCCTCGGTTAACAGGACTAGTCAGGCTCATGTAAATAGCCCCTTAGTTATTAAGACTTGTTGGCAGAGTAAAATATATCAGGCAATAAAACTGGTTTCAACTTGCAACAAATCAGATGTTGTTTTTTACAAAGGGAACCAAGAAAATGAAACTTTAACATCTAGTGTATTCTACTATGTACAAGTTGTACAACCCCAAAAATGTAAACAACACTTTGATTTGATTTTAGTTCCATAAATCCATATTTTTTATCCATATTATCAATCCATATTTAATTTGATTTTAGTTCCATAAATCCATATAATTTAGTTCCATAAATTTGAGTGTAGATCCATAAATCTATTAAGATGCACAAATGCCATCCAATGTAATGACCTAGATGATAACAGGAAGCAGTTTTGTTTCTTCAAGGCTTTTGATCAAACAGAAAACACATTTGAAGGTCTTCATGTTCCAACAAATTGCTTTCTGCTTTCTTCATGTTCCAACAAATTGCTTTCTTAATTGTTTTTGAGCTTGTGCATTCACTACAGCTTGAAATTTGCCAATCGTGAACTTTCCAACACTAAAAAGAAGAACAGAAAATATTTGAAGGTAGAGCATCTTTAACCATGTGCACTGGACAATATGCTGTGTTGCCAAAACAATTAATCAATGTAACTTCTACAAGTTATATTGCTTAAAATCTTTTACACCAAGTACATAAGAACTGAACTGTAAGATACAAGGCTGGTGTTAAATCTAATATTGATGGTAATCATACACAGGAGAAATTACTAATATGTTGCTACACTGAGTAAATTTATACCAGGCAAGCTGAAAAATCAACTTTACCACAGTAAGAATGCAGCCCACAACCCCTGGTTTACAAGACCAATGCATTCCAGACTGAGCTACACAGTTTGAATGTGCAATATTTTATTATTTTGGAGCTTAATTAGTCTCGTTCCTTCACTAAGATGGTAAACCTAACAATGCCGATGGTAATTGATAACAGGTGAAATCATTAAGATGGTGCTTGCTGAGTAAATCTACATGAGATTGGTGTGTTGCAATTTTGGGTCATGAACTGTAACTTCTGGCAAGTTAGTCTGCTCCACCATCAATTGCTTGATACAGATGTGAACAAATATCGTACTCATTACTGTTACCAGCAATCAAAGTTTAATATCATTTAAGTTACAAATTATAAACCAGTTCTGGTGAAAATGGATTCTACTCGCGCAGTTTACTTAGTTTAGTCCAAAAACGTTTTTGTTAATTAAGAAAAGAAGCCCAATACAAAGACATCACATCCCCTTTCACTGATCAGGTATATAATTTAGTACGAATAGTAGTACGAATTATAAGGATATTCACAGTATAATATGCGCCTAAAATTAAAAAAATTCAACCTACTGCGTTTTATAAACAAGACATGACGCATTTTTCTTCAAGTTAAGTGGATTAGTAGTTGCAATAGTTTCAAACTACATTCAGAAAAACAACATATAACTGCGTATATATCCATCGGTGCCAAAACAGCACATACAGTTTGCTGCGTTTAAAATGACAATTTTAGCATCATTCAATAAGCTTTTATTATAATAAAATGAATAATCTACCTTTCTTTTGTACGTCCTGAAAATTTCAATGACATCCACCATAAAATAACGACGATATACCCATTTAAAGTTATGAAATACAAGTTTCGCCATATTAGTTTATAATGTTTTGGACCAGAGTTGCCAGTATGGAATAAAGACGATGTGCACGGCACATGTGCCGTGCACAAAGGCTGCTATCGGTGCACAAATTGGTGCACAACTTCCCCAATAATCCCTCTTTGGTGCACATTGTTGCACACAATTTCCTTCTGTTATTGGTGCACAAAAAGTTTGGATATTCACAACGTACGTTATCTATATATATTTTTAATATCTACTAGAACTATGGTGTGTAACAACTATAATTAGTAATTGGTGAATTCAGAAGTTCTGACCTTCGCTGCAACACACTTGCTACCCCCGCAGGGTTTTTTTCAGGGATTTTTTAGGACCATAAAACGGCCCCAAAAACTCGATCTTGAATTGAGTTTTGAAACTCAATCTTGAATTGAGTTTTGAAACTCAATCTTCTCACCAAAAGATTTAGTGCAGTAAAAATGAAGTTGTTTGAGTTAAATTCGTGACGTGTGCAAATTAGTTTTCAGTTGGAAACCCCACAATCCAGAAAAATGGCTGAAATTCATTTCACAACACAAGAAAAACAACGCACTCGCCATATTTAGTTTATGGTGTCTGCTTTAACACATTGCGTCTCAACTACACTTATCGGGTACAGGTGTCAGCCGCCCGCAGCTGCCCCAGACCCCCAGCTGTTCAGCTAAACTAACAATCTTCTGTGCAAAAACGCCGGACCCAAAGAAAAATCCTGAAAAAACCCTCCCCCCCCCTAGAATCTTAATTTAGAACGTGCACAGGTCATGAGCCCGCTGGCTATGCAGTGTCGCCGTGGGACCCATGTTTTTGGGGGGGCCAAGGGCAGTACTTTTCCGACAAAACGGAAAATTTCGGTCAGTGTACCATTTTAGGGGTCAAAAAATTTTTCCGGACATACCAAAATTTTTCGTTACATCAAAAAATTTTTCCCGTCGACATCTCCAATTTTCTCCATTTATCCAAAATTTTTCGAATATACCAACGTCGGAAAATTTGACAATTTCCGACAACGTTGACAATTTTCCAAAAATTTCCGACAACATTCACAATTTTCCGACGGGTCTCCACGGCGTCATCTCCCCCCCCCCCCCGGCCACGGGGCCACTGTGGCTATGTGCACAACATGTGGTGCACAACCAAAGTTGCGTTTAAAGTGTGCGGTGCACAGAAATGTTACATTCCATACTGGCAGAGTTGGTTGCTTTCAACATGGCGGCCAGGATCCGGAAGTAACATGTGCCGGCACAAAAACTTCAAAGGTTCCGACTCGAGTGAAGCTTCTGCCCTTCTCTATTTTGTGGTTACGTGCGGAAATTGATAACTAATTTAGTTACCAATTCACGCACGTAATCAAAAGTATACAAATTTGCCAACTTTGAAGGGCTATATTTTCCATATTTTACAACCTTTCGCAACTAATTCCAAGACGCTCTTTGTAGATGTGGTGATAGATCTCGTTGTTCTTACTTAGATTAAAATTTAGTCTAAAGCGCAAGTCGTCCATTGTAGGCACAGATAAGAATAAGTGGAGTGCATGACGGAACTGTGGGTTGTTTACCATTTACATGGAAAACCCATCCGGTTTGAAATTGTGCTAATGATAAGCAAAATTTCGGATAGAAAATCCCATTCGGATTACGCGCTTTCCATTTAGAGTGAATGACCGGAAGGCACTGAAGGGTTGTTTACCATTTACATGGAAAACCCATCCGGTTTGAATTAAATCGCGAAGAGCCTGGAATTGGTGAAAACAAATATAAAAGATTTCCAATCGGTAAGAGAGGACAACCTTTTCAAACAAGCCGTTTATTCCGGAAACGTTCCGGTTGGGACGACGAAATATGCTTGTTCCATTTACTTTCCGTATGAAATTACCGAAATTTCCATGTAAATGGTAAACAACCGTGATTTTATAAATATGAAATTTAATAACTGAGTGAAATGCTTTGATTGACATGTTTTTAACCAATTATATTCCCTCTGACTGATTGAAAGAGATCAAGATCAGTATTAATAGTTTGGACGTTCGCTTGTTTTAAAAATTTATTGAAATGAGCTTTCGACTGCCAGTCTACAGTCAACGGGCAAGTGATAATGAATTACATGCGGAAAAACATTGGTTTACAATTACATACAAAAACAATTAAACAGTTCCGCTCCGCCTACATGATAGATAGTGATATGATAATATTATAACAAGAAGCATAGATTAACTGTTCAAGATCTTAATGGTTAATTGTTTTTGTATGTAATTGTAAACCAATGTTTTTCCATGTACAGGCGTAAAAATCTCACATCTTGTAGCAAGTCTGTCATCAAGCCGTCAACAAGTTGTGTTCGCACTGCTTGTCCCAAGTTGTCAACAAGTTTGGAACAAGCTGTTAACAATTTGTGACAATTACCTTGTTGATATTATCAGGCTTGTTACAAGGTTGTTCCAACAAGTCCGATACAGTCATGATATAACAGTATTGTTACAACCTTGTCTCGTTAACCTTGTAACATTCTTGTTATATCATGATTGTATCAGATTTGTTAGAACAACCTTCTAACAAGTCTGATAATGCCATCAAGTTTGTTACAAGTTGTTAACAGCTTGTTTCAAACTTGTTACAACAACTGGGAACAAGCAGTGCGAACACAACTTGTCGACAGCTTGTGAACAGATTTGTAACAACTTGTTTGCTGACCTGTAACAACTTATGCGTTTTTACGCTTGTAATTCATTATCACTTGCCCCTTGAAGACTGCAGACTGGCAGTCGAAAGCTCGTGTAATTTCAATAACTTGATTTTTAAAACCAGAGAACGTCCAAACTATTAATATGAATAATCCTGGTTACGCTTCTACCATTTTTAAATCAAGATCAGTGTTCCAGGCCGGCTGTTATCAGTCGGTAAAATGTGCTGCAAGTTGAAAAGTCCCAGCCTCGTCCTCCCATCCAAAGTATGACCAGCAGGGGCGGACATTCACTTTTCCCGCTGGGGGGAAAATTTCCGACAAAACTTTAAAATTTCCGACAACCGCCACCTATTTCCATGCACTTGCAAAGACTGTTTTTAGCTCTCTTTTAGGTCAAAATTTCCGAAAATTCGTCAATTTTCCGTGAAGGTGGGGGCGCCCTCCGCCCCACCGAAATTTCCGCCACTGATGACCAGATTTGGTAAAATTCGTCAATTTTGGAAAAAAGTTTAGTAATGAGATTTTTTAGTAAAATATGGTTTCCACGAAATTTTACACGTATAATAATTAAGTTTCTTTTGTTAAAAGTTGTGTTTGAGTGGCACATCTTGGTAATAGAGATGCTACTGAGCAATTAAAGACTCTCTAGCCTTGCTTGAGTATATAGTAGATGATATTCTGGCCCCGTAATTGGAAAGCAAACTAGAAATTGTGTTGTCATACCACTGTGGCGATAAAATATTATTCCCGAATGGACAACTTTGAATGAAAAAATGACGATGTTTTAGGGCAATCCGGATAATTTTCGTTTTATAAGAAGCATCAACGTAACATCTTTTATCCACGGTGGAGCGATCAGCTATTAATGCAGATCATTTCGCTTGCTAATGGCTTCATAACTGCATGCTTGCGCTAAAAACATGTC